GGGAGATGCCCAACCATGAAATATTAAACCAAACAACACTTCTGAATATTTTTAAGTGACTGAGTGTGAGATATAGCTCAGAACTTTAATATTAAATGGTGCTGCTAGGATTGAATGAGATGCTTGTTTTTAAATATATAGACTTGTGTATAAAAATAATGGTTATGAGTACAAAATTCATGTTCTACCTGAGATAAGCTCACTTGTTTCTTTAAATTAACCTCATTAGAAAATAATAAAAGAGATACAGAAAAGATCTAAAGAATATTCTTCCTCTCCTCCTAAGAATAGTTCCCTCTCCTGCAGTAAATAAGCCAAAAAAGAACAATTTCCAAACTCTACCTTGGGTACTTGTCCTTGCTGAAGGATTACAGCCATGCTTTTCTCCTTTTTAACCAGCTGATTCTGCACTTCTTTACCTCTCTTTCTTTAATATTAAAGGCATATTTAAGCCCAACCACCCCTCTGTCCTGCTCCCAACTTAAAGTGTAGACTCTCTGATCTTTACCATGATTTCAAAGTGATTTTGTTAAATACCCAGTAAAGTATGTCTAAGAGAGTCCTGTTTCTTTCCTATTTGGCTAAATAGGGCAACACGATGACTCAAATTATTCCTTCACAGGTTTTACAGAAGTCAGAGCCCAACAATAAATGTGGCAAGAAAGGATTTCCTGAGATACGGGGAAGATTCCTCAGCCATCACGTAACAGCTTTCCACTTTGCTATGGAAGCGTGAATAATTATCACTTTTAGATGGAATAAACACCGTTAAGGAAAACACAAACCAAAACAAAAGGCCTATTTATACATCCAGGTTGTAACCTCATCTCAGAAAGTCTGTCCATAACTCAGCAAGTAACACCATCCTGCTATGATAATAATTCATCAGCATTTTCATAGTATGTTTTCCCTGCTAGGAAAATGAAATTTCATACTTTGGCTCTCTTACTAATCCTGCATCTCAGTTTTCTCCACACACACTCAGTCATAGCACTCCAGCAACTCCTTGTACCAAAAAATGGGTGTAACAGTGATCACAGAGAACTATTACTGTATTTTTTTTTTTAATAAAAGGACAAGCTAATGTCATTTAAACATTAAGATCTCCCAAAGTTCACTGAAATTTTTTCGTTCATGACAATTTATGAAAATCTGCTTAAAATGAAGGTGAGGACACACTTGACCCTGCTGTGAAACATCCCCGTGTGAAGCCCTGTCCCACCACGAGCGCTCTGCCATGGTACCACAGCTCGCCCCGTGCTCTTAGAAAGTGCCCAACTGACGTGGATAGGGGAAAAAAGCAAATCAATTCACTCTCCTGTCAAATTTGCCAGCCTAAACCCGGTTACTGCAAAGTTTGGACGCACGCTCCTTCAAACATTTGGACTTGCAGACAATGATTTCAGCAGAAACACGGCCCAGGTATTTCGAGCTGAACTGAAGGTGCCATTAGAAAGTAGGGGAGGGGAAAAAAAGGGAGGGGGGGTGCAAAAAAGCCAAACAACCTTTTTTCCTGTGCTGACGGTGCCATAAAGCCCGACTATAGATACTGCAACCATTTCAAAGGCAGGAAAGGCTGAGGCCTTCGCTGTGGTGTCCACTGGCTTTGAAGTGCCGCAAGCAGCTGCTCCCAGCAGATAGGAACTGTGGTGCTGCTGGAGTTATTTTTTTCTTCAAAATAGACTTTCAAATCTAACAGCTGCGAGTAGAACAAAGTTGAGCGAAAGTATATTTAAAGAAAGAAAAAAAGAAGCCACCGGTTTCTCTCTCAGAGTGTTCTCAGTGGATACTTCAAAAGAAAGGGGCGCTGAATCAGATGAAGCTGGAACCAAACGCTGAAAGATTCAAAATTTCTTCTTTGCTTTATTAACGGATCTGAATGCATCTGAAAGGCTAGCAAAATATTAACTGCTACGATTTTGCATGGTTTTTTCCTAATTATTTTTCAAAGAAAATAAAAATATCTCTCTCTCTAAAATATCAGGTTATTTATTGATAAAAATATCAGATAAGTATCTATATATATCAGTATATCTAATGTGTAGACAGAGCAACCTTTCAGCCCCACAACCAACAGCCCATGTTCACATCAGTGATCTCTTTGAAACCAAAACTCGAGGAGAGTCCTGTGAAACACAGGCAACCATTCATATACAGCAGAGGCAAAACCACAGCTCCCAAGTTCCTGCACTTCCAAGCTGTTTCTCAGGTTGGAGAACTGGATAACACCTCGGTTCATTTGGTTCTTCGTTACCAACCTGATTAAACTTACGGGCAACTGAATTGTCCAGGATGCAACCACTTGCCATGCCAGCCTACTCAAAATACATCCAAAGGTCAATTTTCTTTCCCCTTCAGTATAAATTCCATTTGATGATTAGATTCAGACAAAAAGGAATTACCACATTTCTCAGATAGTCAAAGTTTCCAGTTTTTGGTTGGGCGTCTATTTCCCAACTGGAAGTCTACCAGAGCCCTGCTGAAATATCCCACCAGTCCTAATTTACTGCCCTAATTAAACAGTTTAAATGAGTCTATTCCTCCCCAAGTAACAACCAAAGGAATACGAAGTAAAATAAGGCAAGGAAAAGTCGGCTTTAAAACTGGTTTAGAAGTTCTGAAGCATAAATAGACTAATACAGAGAAAGAGAAGTAGGAAGTCCTGAAAGGAAATTTTAAGAGTGGAAGAGCTGAGCTCACTCGTCTGCGTGGCGGGGCTGGAGGAGCTTTGTACTGCGGAGATGACAATACAAAAAACACCACTTCCAGCCATAAAGCATTGCAATGTGCAGGAAGGGTCACATATTTTTCATGTTCGCAAGCTTCCCAAGACCATTCCAAATGAAGTACGAAGAGAAAGAAATTGTTTCAAAGGGCATAAACAGGATTCCTCTGAAAATTCTTCTGAGTGTCTCATTGTTCAGCTGTTTAGTGCTGAAACCCTTTCCGTGGGTTTCAGTGATGTGTCATGAAGTGTAGCTGTTCTTTCTTACATTAAAAAGTAGTTATCCTAAATACAATAAAAGCGAAGCAGTAAACATCTCATCTTTTTGGAAAATGCCTTCTCTGACGTTTACCACAATATGAACATTGCTACAGAACACCAACGTAAAAAGATTCACCAAAAATGTTTTAAATATCACATTCATTTCTTGGGTTTGGGTTGGTTTTTTTAATCCAGTCTCCAGAACGTCTGAATATGATAGGCATGATAACACAACAAAGCAAATAAAGAATAAACCACGACACTACCAGTGCATGCATTATCATTTTCCTTTAGTGTGCAAAACCAGCAGAGCATTTGGCAGAAGATTGTGTCTATGGCGTGGAAGCTATCGCCATGTATATGGAAAGCAAACAAATTACCACTTGTGGGTAGGAACAGGACTCTCATAACAACTGAGCAACTGCAGACTGGTATTTATCTCTATAGATTATGTTCCTAAATGTGGGAACAAAATCTTTGAATAAATGCTTACTTTGGACTTTACAGATACACCACAAATTATGAGAAGTGTAAAGAAAAACGTGAATGAACCACATCACTAAAACGATGTAAAGATAACATTCCATAAATAAATTCACCTAAAGGCAGACACCCAACACTGCCCATGGCCTTCCCCTCAGTGTGTCCTAATTTACACAGCAAACTTCCTCACCTTCAGTGCAAGCAATTAGTGCAACGCCTTTCACATGATTTATCTGAAGACAATCTACTGCCACAATTCCACAGTAGTGTACTTGTGATTTCTAGCCTTTATCCCATAGCTTACACTAAATCATGACAGAGGTAGCATTCTTACTGCCTTTTCCACAAAAGGTCATCTGCGACACAAACCCCACGAGACAAAAAACCCAATGTCCCTGCAACCTGGACTATCCCTGAACTGTTAAACACAAGAATCACAAATACAATATCAGCCAGTAAAACAAACCGCCTGTGGGGATGCATCTCGCTATGACACGGGACAGCTTCTCACCCTTTGCCAGGGCCAACCCAATTAGTAATGTTGACAATTCTGAGTGAGGATAAGGAAAAGACTTTGATCTGCCCCAACAAGCTCTCTTTTATTTAAATATAACTTGAAGGCCGTGCACAAACCCCACCATTGTTCTTCCCAAGCAGACGAAGGTCTCTCTCAACACCTACCAAAGTGAGCTCGTTCCTTAATTACTTGAAAAAGCCCCTTCCAGACAGACCACGGCCATCTGCAGCATCTCATCCCCTTACCAGCAGTGAAGATAAACAGAAATGAAACCACATTTCCCTAGTGGAAATGTAAACTTATATCCACGCGAAAACGTTGATAAGAGGGAACTTTAAGCTTGTGGGCTATAAAGTAATCAAAGAATTGTTTTCAATCCTTTAGCAGATGTTACCAAGCAGACGCCACTTCAGTTTCATGACAAAGCTCCACCTTACACAAGTGTCTGATGGGCCCCTTCAGCTGCGTGCTGCTCAAGCCTGTACCATTCCATCATCTGCTGCTATTTCTGTTTCTTCCCTTTACACTTCGCAACGCTCCTGAACTCAAGTTTCTTGTCTCCACCCAAATGTTTCCTGAATATTTCCCAACCCTGAAATTACATTACAATAAAGTAAATCGCTACCCGTGGGCCAAAACAAGCATTCATACGAACACTCCCCATGTCAAAAATGATAAAAAAGAATAAAACGCTGTTTCTTGACACGAAGAAAAACAAATAATGCATTAAAGAGTTTCATCTGGCCGCTATGAAAATAGGTGTTGCCACCTGCAAGCCTGGGAAATCATCTGAAAGTCAGAGGTGCAAAGGATTGCGAAGAGGAAACAAAAATATTTTGTATGCAGACTTTTTCCCTCTCGTTCCTCATCGCATAAACTCTGCATATCTATAAATTCTGCCTTTATGCAAAGAGCAGCAACGCATGGCGAGAACAGGGTTAAGGCACAGGAGCTGATCGATGTCTGCACAGAAAGATGTCCTTCCCCTCCATGTGAAGGTGCAAACCAACTGACCTGCTGCTCGTATCTTTGCTTCAGCTCCTCCAACTGCCACGAGAACTCTTTGGATTGCTTTTCCCGGAGCGATTTGGATCTGCCGAGATCTGCTTCCACCTTCTCCATCTACATGGTAAAAGAAAGGGAATTTTTTAAAATTTGATTAAAAATTAATTTTTAATTTATTTTTTTAAAAGGCATAGCTTAAGATGTTCTCGCGTTTCTACAGGTGTTTGCAATCCATCAAAGATGTGAATATAACTTACTGAGAATTATACTACTACTACGTGAATACCGGATTATTGGTTTCTTAAGGACATAGTGATCACCAACACCACGCCACTCCCAGAGTAAAAAGTATTGGCTCAGTTTTTCACTCAACAGCGGTGAACTTCCCATCAAAGTTAAGCTCCTATTTTTTCCTAGAAATATTTAAGACTCAAATGTATTTCACTCAAAAACATATTGCCTGTGGAAATTCGAGGGAAATAATGCATGAGTCAGTGCACAAACTACACATTTAAAGTAAATTTACATTAAATCAGTAAAATAACTTAAAAGATAATTATTTGGCTGCCAGTAAAGTTCTCTGAAGATAGTCATCACCTAGGAGTAATGAGTCCACAGATTCCAGCACACAGCATCAAGGAAGCAATTTCATAACCCAATTAACAAAGGCTTTTGTATCAAAAGCACAACTGTTAGCTGTACATCAGGCATGCTTCCAGGGGAATGAACAGATGTATATATACATATATATATATACACACACATATATATAAAATGTATATTTTTTGCAATTTATAAATATATATTATATATATATGTGTGTGTGTGTGTATATATATATATAAAATACACACACAGAGTCCTATGCTGCAGTGCACACTCATCAATTACTTTTAGCTCTAGGTCCCAACACAAATAGTAAACAAAATCTCCGTAAAAAAAGAGAGAAGAGGGTGAGGAGGTCCATGTGCTGTACCAAGAGAAGAAATTCTGAATTCCTGCACCAGAAGCCAAAATCCTGCCTGGCCTGAGGGACCGCTGTGTCTTCAACAGACGGCTCTGCCAATTGGCCCAGACATCACTTCTGAGCCAGGAAAGAGGACAAAAGGCAGCACTTGGAGTGGGAAAAGCATTTTATTGGGAAATACAGCAGCGAGAGAGGAAGATGTAAGAGTAGGACTTGTTGGCCAGATAGAAAGTGGAAAAAGAGACTAGAAAGGAACAAGTTATCCTTCCAGTAGTTCTTGAACCTCACTGCTACTCCCTGCTATGAAGGGACTTCAATGAATATTTTATGAGTAATTTCTTCCGCCTCCAAACTTACTCAAGTTGCATGTTCATAGCCATATTTTATTCAGCCCAATAAAAAACAGAAAAATAAGATATCTTGTTACTTTATTAAAGGATTTTTATTTTTCTTTCAGAGAATGAAAACATTCTAAGAAAGGAAATAGTAAAAACATATGCAAAGACTCTTTAACTCTACTGGCTTTTGTGCTTTACTCATTAGGACACTTTCATGTATTTCCTCCAAGTGCAATGAGGGCTCTTGATCAGGAAACACAAGATCTAAAGTGCCGTGACACACAGGTATTGTTTCTCCTTTTGCTAGTTACTATTAGGAAAAAAACACAGACCTTACAGTTCAAAATGTGCCGCTCACCCATCAGTGTGCATCAGGTGACCCGTAATAATCACAGCCTTGACAAAATAGGAAACAGATGGCAAAACAACATCACAGAGCCAAACTAATGAATCAAATATTGATTACAAGAACTGAAAATGCCAGACCCCGTTCTACTTATCTCCATAATTAACTTCACCGCACACCAAAACATGGAAGCCGGGTATTTCTACTGCAGCTAAAAGTGCAGCGTTGCTATAGCTACTACCGTTTTTGCTTTGTAAGTAATACATTCCACCTCACCACAAAAAAATAGGATTTTCCGATACGTTACAATCTAGCGGGTGATTTATCTAAAGAGTATGTGCGTGCGGGAGAATGAGAGGAGGACAAAGCTATGAAGACAGCTTCAGTAGTGTTTCTTTGATGTATTTCCTTGAACTTTGGTTCCTGTAGAACAGCGCTGCTCAACCGCACGGTATCATTTACTATTTCTGTGTTTTAGCATGCAAGAAGGGACGGAATAAACCCACCGCTGCTTCTTGGGAGTACAGCAAAAAACGTTTGCAAAATTTCCCAGAACGCAGCAATACTCCAACAGAAATCTGCAGTAATTCTTAAATGACAACTGACTTAAAGTTTTCCAAATTCTTCTGCGTATTTTTTTGGTTTGGATTGGTTTCATTTGTTGTTTTTTGTTTGGGATTTTTCAGGGGGTTATTTTTGGTTATTTTCCTTTCTTTCAGTGAATGAAACTATGATTAGTCTTTCTCGAATTAGACTCTATCCCTTTTGGAGCAGAAATAAGATATTATTTAAAGTCATTGTGAAGAAGCTGGAGGAGAGTCTCCCAGCACAGAAGTCAGATTGAAATGGTAGGATTTGTCGTATTGCCCTCATGGGCCTAGTTTGCAGAACAAATCTTGCTTTTACAAGTTTGCTCTTGCTTTTCTTATTTCCAAACTCTGTTATTTGCTGTCTGCACCAGTCTTGAAAATATCAGCAATGCCTTACTTAACTTCTCACTGTTGTTGAAGATTTTCAGGAAAAAAAAACGCCACCAGAATGACAGAGATTTTGCTAAATTATAAGCCAGCATCCTTAGAAACGCATTACAGTATCAGACTGTTAACAGCAAGGTTTGGCTGTGATGGGTGAGGTTGGAAAACTGAGGGCATGGTCAGGTAAAATTGAGATTTGCCCAGAGATTTCGACCACTCGACAAGGTAAGTTCATGCTCCCTCTTCTCCCCTTTGTGATCACCTGTTGCTTATTTCCCTCATCGTGCTGCATTTGTAAAGTCCCAGGGACAACCGTTTAACTACTGTTTGCTCCATGAGGAATTTAAGACACCAAAACCTTTTTACATAAACTCCTACTAATTTTTTGGGACAGAGAAATGGATTTTCCCCTCCTCTGCCCACGACTGCCAGCAGCCACAACGGCTCTGCCCCTGTTTAGGCTCAGGCTGATTACAAGACCTCATTAACCGAAGACAGAGTCGATCCCAAAAGAGTAGGAAGAGACACACATTTAAGCGGAAAATTACAGCCGCTGTTCCACAGGGGTGTATAAACTAACACTTTATAGTCTCACTCCCGAAAAATCCCTAATCAGTATCATAACCGCAGCTATCTTTATAACAATGACAATTCTGGCTTTGTTAGAAAGATGAAACAGCCGCTACCGTCCCTTTTTGACTTGCCAGCAAAGACACTACATTGTGAAGGATTTTGATGTAGCACTCTCAAGTGAGGCATGTTTCCAGCATTATAAGATCAGAATCCGCTATCCTACTGAGACGGAGTTTCAGAAAGGCTGGCATTGTGACCTCCTCACCTGCTGTTTCATTTCAGCATAGACTTTTTCTGAGTTCAGCTCCACCTGCCGCTTAAACTCCTCCAGGGCAGCATCTGCCTGCTGGGCCTGCAGCCTCTGTACCTCTGTCACCCGAGTCAGCTGCTCCTCCTTCTCCCTAGAAAGTCACAGAAAAACGTTCAGAGTTCAAGTATCAAATAAAAGAACAAGTGTGCTGGTGTAAAAGAGAGCCCTTTAACCCGATCAGTTTAAAATAGTATTCAGATTGCAATTTCCTGTCCCAGCTTCTGCCAAACTTCCCTTCGCAATACTTTGAAGAAGGGAATAGAAGGCTCCAGTTATTTTCACTTTCTCTTGCTGGATCTCGCACGCCTAAACACGGCGTTCACAGCTTATGACAATACCTCCACCTTCAAAGTCCGCGTTGATTTGAATGGTTTACTACCCGCCGTACACCCCCCTTTTTTAAATCTCACCTTTAAAAGCATATTGCCCCCTCCAGTATTTAAATTAATCACCTCCTCCCATTAAAAACAAATAAAACAATTATCCCGGTGCCATCTTTGCTCAGACAAGGCGCAGGATTATTCGCTGCTTGACATATATCAAAATGCAAAGCAGGGTAATGCGTGACATATGGTACCTTCTTAATCTATTAGAAACCCGTAATGCTGTAACATCTATTCAGCCTCTAAAGTAATGACAGATGTTAAATCTTTATGCAAAGATATTTCATATTAGCAGCCCATACTATTGGACATATTAATGTCGATACATATATAGAAATCGGTTTGGGTTTAAGACATTATAGTATGTTAATAGTGATGCATGTATCTCATATACACACCTTAAAAATAGATACATCTACCATATTGACACACCACAGACAAAAATTCTGATGACTTGTAAGTATTTAAGAAATTTTACTGCGTCTCCTCACACAGGCAGTGTCATTAACTTTCTATTGCCCATTTCTATTACCGCAGGTCAGTGGAGTTGCTCGACTCTGTGTGCAGACGCAGGGGAACGCAATAGTGGCAGCGACGGACAAAGCTGGCTCCACCAGTACCAGAAGACACATCCAAACAGACCTGCGGTTGACACTTTCATTTTACAGGCAGAGAAAGTACCTCGTGATAAATTTCCCATTTTGACAGAAATTGCCTATAAAACAAAGAACCTGACACACGCGAGACGGCAAAGCGCAGTTAATTCCTCCAGCGTGTCCCAGTGCCAGCCCTGAGCAAGCCTTTGGGGATGTCAGGAAGCTGCCAAGCCCAGGGCTGCAGCGCTCACATCCTCTGCTGTGGTTTTCATAGCAGGCTCTGACAATGGGACAAAGGACCTAATCCTGCATCTGCACCAAGTGGCCGCTTGCGGTGGAGGAGTGCGGGGTAATTCTATTAGCAAAGACATCAAAGAAATGCCACAAGCCCTGAGTAAGTCTATTACTGTTTATTTTCATTGGTTTGGTTTCTTTTCCATTATGCATGTTTTAAAGAAAAATTTAGTTTGGTATCTTACTCACAGCTGATGGAATAACTGAGACATCAGGAGACTGCTATTTTCCTTATACAAGGAGGAAAATGCCTTTCTTACCCAGCAGAAACTGGAGCAAAACAGAATAAAATCCTGGATCACATTTTTGATGATAATTGTTTACGATTTTGCGTTCACAACTTTCTTCAGATTTACTAGAGAGCATCCATCATGCCCACACAGCTATGCTTTATTTCTACTGCCACAGCAAGCCCATTTTCTAAACTTCTTTGAGGGGGAAGCATATCTGTATCTTAATCTAAGCTACCACATTCTCCATTCATTTACAAGACAATAAAAATCACACACCAAAAAAGAAAACACCACTAAAATCAACATTTCCCGCTCCCCCATCTGAATTCAACTGGCAAAAAGACCATTTAGGATTTAAGTTTCCACTACAGAGGATCCAAGAGATCAAACTGCAAGTACAAAAACCCTCAGACATTTCCCAGAAAAGGCAACACCAACGGCGCCTCCAGAGCTAAAAATGCTGTGAAGTGTCTGAGGAGTTCGCTGTGCACCGCCTCTACCTGCAGAGGCATCGGCCTCAATTATCCCCCTGAAACCCACGTACGAGGGAGCTGCTGAATACAGACATTTTTTAAGTTAATAGCAGATAGTGAATTATGGGGAACATGTTGTTCTCTCCAACAACGAAATCCAGCAGCAGTTCACAGGAACGAATAGGTGAGAGGGTGAGCCATCTCCTGAGGCCTACGCACAGCTCAGCACCCTGAAACAGAGCCTCAGCTTCTCCCCAAAATCCTCAATTCAGTTATTGGCACTGGGTAACAAATCTCCCCGCAAAATACATCAAATACTTCCAATCCACACTGGAAACAGACCCAAAACCCAAAGCTTATTCGAACATACCCACACTGCTAAGTGTCAAGAGACACCAGATCAGCATTTTTGGTCCAATCAGACTGAAATACAACAAATCTAAACATGAAAGGACGAGTTTGTTAGAGAGCCTCCAAATTTATGCATCTTCTTCCTGAGGAATGTATTTTTATTGTGAAATATGACGATACAAACTTTCAGGAATCTGGTGTTATGCACCTTCCTTTCTTTTACGGACTTAATCCCATGAATAGATGCAACATCTCATTATAGCCGGGAATAAAACTTCATTTCTGAAGGATGCGGGAGCTAGCTCGCTCCACTTTTTGTGCCGTTCAGATTTGTACAGAAGCTTAGAAAACACGTACAACAATGGGCCGCGGTTCACAAATATAAGAAAAGCTTTACTTTTTTTTTTCCCAAGATACTGAGCAATGCGCCTTGCATGGAGCACTAAAATATTCACTTTGAAGATTATTTTTTTCAGTTGGACTAGTTGTGGGGTCGAATACAATACAATTACATCACTTAAATCCCCTAAAGCTGAGCCGGCTTGAATATAAAAATAGGGTGAATTTACTCTTTGGCCCCAATTTAAAAAGCAGCAAATTCTTCTTGTTTCAGTGTATAAAGGATATGGCAACAGAATTAGCAATCGTACACAGCACAAACCATCTCAAAGTGGACTATGAAGTCCAGAATTGCAATTTCAGAAAGCAGCACTCTGAAGTACACTGATAAATGGAAAATATAAACATCTTACACACTTCCTCTCCATGCTTAATCAGAAATATTTTCCTTGCTTCGTAAAATGTCTTCCAAGAGGTAACGACTAAACACAGTCAGACACGACAGCATTGCAAGCCGAGTTAATGAAACACAGGGCAAGCCCGTGCTTTACAGGAGAGGTCAAATGAACTCAACATGGCCCAGCAAATGTGGGATGGACCAGCACCGTCACTCGCAGGGCTCTCGCCATCCCCTGTACCAAAGGAAGGGCTGCCCAACAGCAAACGTGAACAGGAGATGTTCTCAGAAACAGCCTCTTCGACAAATTAAAACAATTTTACTGCGTGTAAGCCTACACATGTACAAAACGTGTACCTTCATGGGCTCCATGTGGACAACGGCTGTGGGCAGCGAGTTTCCCATCCCATTAGCAAATCTGCACACAGATTCGGGTTAGATTAGAGAGCTTTTCAGTGATATGAAAAATAGCTGCATTGTGAAAATCCTGGTGTTTTCTGATTAAAATTACACCAGGCTTTTAATGCATGGATATGCAAATTCTTCGTCAGGTTCTCAATATTTGTGCAGAGTGCAAAAGCAAAGCAAGGGATTTCTATGCTAAGGACACATTTTGCCACTGAATGAGCTTCTGAAACTGAGATTCTGGTGGACTCCACAAGAGGGAGAGGCTTCATCTCTCGTCTAAGTCTGTCACAGGTTGGCATGGCTCTGGGTTTATGCCTGTAGATAAAAAATGAACCATGAGACAGCAGAGTAATGGCTTCAGTCCCACTGATGAAGCCAAGATCTTCAGTGATCTGCTCAGAAAGGCCAGGTCTCCTCCTAAAAATGACCCTGACGATCCCACGTTACATATATGCACTGGCCCTACATATTTAGATTTGCTGTACAAGTTTTTGCCCATTCCTTCCTTTCCTCCCCAAATATTAACACCTCTGAGGGAAAACTGCAAACTGTTCACTTGCTGGAAGGCAGCTGAAGGAGGATGTCACTGGGTCTGTTTCTAAACAGCTTTTCTTTGTATTTATTGATGCAAGAAATAAAAATTGATTCTTTTACTAATCTGCATTGAAACAAAACCAGTTATCACCATCTATATAGCCTATTTAAATTTTAAAAAACCCTACCTAAACATACGTTCCCAAAGGAGATGACAACTCGCCAGACCTTGCAGCACACAGCATCCTGAGTAGCTAAAGCCAAAACCTCCACAAAACATTACTCTCTTCCCACGTAAAAGCAAAATTCAGGAAGTTTACCTTAGTATCTTTTGTGTATAAGCTACAGATGCACAAGTACCCATCCAGTATATGACATATGGAAGATTTTGTCTATAGAAATATAAGTGAACGATCCCTCTCCTCATCTGAGCGGGACTCTCATGTGGAGGTGCCCTGACAGTGACAGGGCTCCACATGAAGGCAACATCATATTGATTTATAGCCAAATGCAGAGTCCATGACACCACTTCTTAGCTGGGTGCGATAGCCGTTAAAAAACACTCCACGCAACAGCCCCTCTACTTTAATTTCTAGAATGCAGACTACTTCAACTACATAAATAATGTATAAAGGCCTAAGGTACTGTGTATCTGTAGAAAGAAGGAACTACTGGTTTAGCTCATTGTTACAGAAAAATGCATCAGTAGCAATACCAATTCCCTGAAATACACAAAAAAACAATTTTACTTCTCTAATTCAACAAATAATGACAGTTAAGTAGCAGCATTCAGTGTAAATTATATATTGGGCCTACTCTGCACCAGCTCAGCTGTGGTCAGGGTCCCTCAGGGTAGGGGCGGTTGTTGCCAGCGAACAAGGAGGAACGAGGAGGGCTCTCGTACAACACGAGCACCCAAACATATGGAATATGTGCACAACACTTCTTTTTGGTGTGGAGAGGAAGAAAGACAGTGTGAAGTCATTCAAGCGGAATGATAACTAAACCAAAGCCAGATCAAAGGAATGAAGAAGAAAGACTGAAATGTGAAGCTGAAATATTTATTGCCTTCAAAACATCATC